TCTCTTCCTTCCTTCCTTCCTTCCCTCCTCCCCTCCCCCTCCCTCCATCCCCCTTTTCTTTCTTTTTTTTTCTTTTCTATTTTTTTTTTATTTTTGTGTCTAGATAGCTTACTGATGACACAGCACATACAGGTCTTAGGGATCTTCTTTTCCGCTTGGCACCACACAAAACATCTGACCACAGGCAGTGAGTGTGTAAGAAAGCATCCCGTGGAAGGAAGGAGAAGCAGGAGGTTTGAAATAATTCTCCTGGCTTCAGTTTGTACAGTGATTTGTCTGTCTTCTGTCTCTCCTTATGTGTTTCCAAGTTCAATGTCCAAGTGATGAGCTTTTCTCCAGGAATTGTCTGCAGCGTCCTTTGTTTCTGATGACCTTCTGTGGTTGAATGTTCCTGAGTGTCTCCTGGTCTTGTTTCTGGTCCTTGTAGCTAAGAATGCCATCGAAGGATACAATCTTGCTCATTTGCGATGTTACAATTTAAGTGTGCTTCGTGTCCCTTACAACGCAGCCTAAAAATGTTCTCTAATGTAGCATGAAATGATTGGTTGGCTTGGAAAGGGTTGTGAAGTCGTGTGAAGAAAATAAGTTTCACATCCGACCGAGAAAACATTCACTCTAGTGCTTTATGGCTTTTTATTCCTATGTGATTGTAATGAAGTCTCATGTAGGGATGGAAGCCATGAAATACATTGTGAAAACGCATCACCTCAGAAGGGGCCATCATCAGGATAGAGAACGGTAGCCTTGGAGCGTGCTGGAGACGTGAGCTAGTGGACAGCTCTGCTACCCTGTCGGTGTGTTCCTTGAGTGTCTTCATCTTTAGGCGTTGACAGCTGAGGCGTGGATGTGGCAAGAGTTTTTCCATCTTCCTGACCACTGAGTAACATGCACATCTGACTTTGCGCATTTCTCATACATTTTCTCCTCCGTTTTTCCTACTAACGAACATCCTCTGGGGAAATCTTAATAGCCCACTCTCCTTGTAGGCAGCGTTCAACCCTTCTGCGACTCTTTTATTTTCCCCCTGACAACTTTTGAGGCCTTTCTTCTGAAACCAAGAAGAAATAGACAAACCAGATTTGTCCTCTTGGGAATGTGGTCCAGATTTCTCTACTCCCAATCTCCAAAAAATAATTTAAAAAGTGAAAAGGTATACCTCGAATGGGCTAGCTCTATATGTAGATCCAAAGATCCCATGAGAGCCGTCTTCCTTTTACAGGTGTGGTGTAGTGGAGGGACCCTTGAGCCTTTGGAGAAGGGTGGGGTTCTGATATCTTCATCAAGTCAGCTATGTGACTGGGGCATGTGAATTAAACAGTGGGACTCTTTCTATATTTTTCGAAGGGGGGTGGGGGTGGGACCAGTCTCATTATCAGGATTAAATGAAATGACAGCTTTATACTATATCTAACCAAGTGTTTGACCTTGACTCTGTTTTAAAAAGCTCATGGAAATATTAGTTTTTCTCCCTTCCTCCCTCCTCCTGTTCCTCTCTCTCCCTGTCCTGTACCCGTTCCTCCTTCAGATGTTAGTCTGTCTAGAACAACACCTGAGGATCTAAGCCGGACGTTTGAGAAAGAAACGACTTCAAGTAAAGACTCCTTTCCCTATGGTTTAATTCCTTACTTTTTACCTGGACTGTATAAGATGCACTGTCAAACTATGCTCAGCCTTTCTGCTCTCTGAGGATTTTTTTGTTTGTTTGTTTGAACTGCTTAGAACTGACTATTGAACTGCATATTAATTCTGGATTTTTAAAAGAAAATTCTAATAAAACCTTATTTGTGTTTTTAATCTTTTGTCTCTCTGCTTTTTCTATATGATGAGATAGTGTCCTGCATTTTATAAATCTCTGACTGCTCTAAGGGGGCAAATACTTCTTAGAAGGGATTCCCTGACCATGACCCAAGGACTGATTCCCTTATTCCTCATAGCCTGTCAGTGAGTGGGGGAAAATTGCTGCGGTAATTGTAAGTCTGATGATCATTTATCTAGTTATTTAGAATAACTAAAAATTAGAATTTGCAAGGCACTGAAGTCTGTAGAATAATTGTGGGTAAGGAGAAGAACACACATAATGACGCTTTTAAACATTTCACAGCAGTCTACGTGCATTGCTATCAAAGCAGAATCTGGTAAGAGCCGGAACTACTTCAATTGCGTCCAGAGTGTTTTTATTATCATTGAGTTTTCCCTTTAGACCGCATGACTACCCGTCGTGGTTCCTATTTAATGACCACGACGTTTATGAGCTGTCCAAAAAGTGGTAAGCCAGTGGTATGGATAAAGAAGAAATGAGGAAGAGAGGAGGGGAAGGAGATCCTGAGAATTATAGGAGGATTAAAAGAGTGAAAGACTAAGTCACATGAGAAACATGGTTGTTAAAGGAAAGGAGGAAAAACGTGTACCCCTGTCCATATTGACCTGCATTTGAAGAGAGCTTAGGAACACTTGGCCACTCAAAATGAATACCACAGACAAGCTAAAACGGCACTCGGCATGAGGGAGGTTCCCTAGAACTGAGGGGGAGGGGTTATCTGTTAGAAGGTGGAGCAACGGCCACAGTTCCATAGGTCGGAGTCAAAGATTTGAAATTCACTTTTCAAGAAACTTATGAAAAGGCTTTATGAATGGTTCTTGAAAATTTTTCCGACATACAAAACATTCTACCCTAGAGAAGGTATTTACTTGTAAACCTCTTCACAAGTATCATTAGACGCAGAGAGCCGATTTGAACGGACACTGTCAGCTTAATTAATTACTGCTGGGTCTCAGTGGGCTGCAATTAGCTGTTACCCTGCAGGATTAGTCTAAGCTGTCAGAGTACCCATAAGTTCAAGGAGAGCCATGTGTTTGTGCCCGTGCTCTCTCTCTCTCTCTCTCTCTCTTTTTGTCTCTCTCTGTCTTTCTCTCTCTCTAACTCTCTCTTTCTGTCTCTCTCTCTGTGTCTCTCTCTATGTCTCTCTCTCTTCTCTTTCCTTTTATGAGATTAGATCTAAACTATAATACTTGGAGGAGTAGAGACAGTGTGTGAGAAGGTTGTCTTTAAGGAGAGCTTCTCAGTTGTCATTGGCCTGTTGGGATTATGGACGGGCAATGTGTCTCCGAGGATATTCCTATTTAAGAGGTCCACAGAGCAGACGGTTCCAAAGAGAAGCCATCTCATTTGGTAATGAATAGGTACATATCCCCCTGCCCTTGCCAGGGTCTTAGTGCCAGCAGCAGGCACATCCTACATCAGGAAAGCATGAGTGATTAACATGCCCCTCCATGAGATGGTCCTGCTTATCAGAAAGTTGCAGATGTCCAATACATTAAAATCCAAAAATGGGGCCATGGGTTTGTGGGATCTCCGAAGAAGATGAAATCAAGAGTTCAGAATTCTCTTCTTCTTTGCTTAGTACAACAAACTCTAACCCCATGCTTCACATAGCAGAAAAGAGTCTCATGAAATATACACGCACGCATACATACACACATACACACAAATGTGCATGCATACACACAGATGCATACACACACACACACACACACACACACACACACACACACACACTGATTTAATCTCTACTATTGTTTTGACCAAAATCACCTACAGAGGAGGAGTCTACAACTCCTCACTGAGATGGAGATCCACACAGGAGAGCAAGGACCCGGAAACTCTGTGTGTAATGATGAACATAAACCTTGAGTATGAAATCCAGGTTTTTCAGCTCTAAACCAAAGCTGAGAATCCAGGGATGGATGTCACTGAAAGGACAGCTTCCACTGTCATTGGCATGAAAATGTGGATGGCCGCAGTGTGAAGTGGGGCCAGGTTTAAGAATAGCTGTTACCCTTCTACTAGATGACCTTTTCCCCGCTAAACCTCCTAGGAAGGAAACGTGCAGACCTGTGGCAGTTCAGCCACAGGTAAAGATAGTAATGTCCTGGCTTTCCAGCCTTGCCTTTGACCTCTAGTCCTTATCGGAAAGAAGCAGGGTTGATTTAAGGTAACACTCATTATTGCATCCCATCAGCTTCCCCCCATCCTTGTTGTTTGAGCACCAAGGAATTACAGCGGTGCGTGTTTTAGTAGAGAATACACACGCGATTTGTTTGTAGTTTAAAATTAGGCCTCACAATGAAAGTTCACAGCTCCTTGCTTGAGTTCCAAGTCCTTGTAAGTCACCCGTAGGTCCACATGGCCTATAGTCAGGCGTCTTTCTGAATTAATCTACCATGTTCTCCCGGCTAATCTATCTATTCATGTTGCCCTATTCTGGGAATACACCAAACTGGCTTCTTCTTCAGAGCTGATGGTATGGTTTCTCACTCTGATTAATTTTCGGAGACACCTACCTATGTGTCTCATGCCGTATCACTGCCTCAGGACTCTTTTGAGATAAAAATTTCAGAAATCTCTTATCAGTGATATTTGGTCTGATTGCCTTTTATAAAATTGTATCTGCCCACTCCTCTGGATTCCAGACTCCTTATCCGGATTGGCTCTTTTCCATGGAAAAAAACTGACTTTTCTCTGGTATACTACTGCTACATAGTTACTTGTTTGCTTGTTTTCTGTGTTGTTCTGCCAGAGAAGAACATAAGCCGTAGGAGACCAGGAATGAATCTGTCTGCTGATGCTGTTCCTCCCCAAAGCCTAGAATCAGATAGACAAGAACTGGCTGGAGTTACAGTGTATCTGAAAGTTCCTAGCATTCAGGACTCCAGATCCTGTGATTATTTAGTGCCACAATGAAATGTGCACAGCTCTCACTGCATGAATTCAGCGTGCATCTTGTCACACAGAGAACTTTGCTTTCCTCCTTTTCCCACCTAAGAACCATGCTCCACTATATATATCTTTACCGATTCAAGATTTTATCCATTTGCTTATTGGAATAAATTCAAAATCAGAAGTTAATAGGTAGGTAGGTGACATAAGCCTATAATCCTAGCATTTAGGAGGTTGAGGCAGGAGGGCCACAGGTTCACAAATTCAGGGTCAGTCGGGGTTACATAGCTGCTGCCTCCAGATTTTGTTTTTTTTTTTAAAAAAAGTTATATTTATTGTGTGTGTGTGTGTGTGTGTGTGTGTGTGTGTGTGTGTTCACACATGCGACCAAACTACTCTCTGGATATGATCCGTTAACCCTACTCTTCAGAGAAGTCAAATGCAGAGAACTCCATTGACTACTTAAATGTCAACATTGGGCTGATTTCTATGAAGTTAGCCAGATCTTCTGGACTTCCTGTCATTTCCATCCTTTGAGTCATTTTGCCTAGGAGTATCCATCAAATTTTACTGTTTTCACTTACATTTTCAGTTTAAGAAATTTTCTAGAAATAATTGATTATTTTTGAAGTCAAAGGAAGCCTCAGATTCCAATTCAGCACTGCCCCCACCCCTCACCCCCACACTATCCCGCTGAGGACTTATAGCTTGTCACCATTCTACTGACAGAACTCAGGGCCACAGACTTGGGATATTTAAACAAAGCCGTCCTTGAAAATGGTGGAAACCATGAGTTAGCTAAAAAGAATAGGCGTATACAACGCCACCTTAAAATGTCAATATCTCCCTGCCCTTATGAAAATGAGTGTCAAAGTGTCCAAAGAATTATCTCTTGATGCTGAGAGATGAAGGATGCTCATCGTGTGTTGGATGAAATGCAAGAGGTCTAAAATTCTGAGCTGTTTGCCCAGAGCACAATATAGTTTACTGACCAGCGTTCAAGTTTCTAAAGAAAATATAAGAGGCCAGCTAAAACAATGGCTCCAATTGGCAGGTGTACCCATCAGGAGCTATGAGGAATGATTTAAGTATGGCTTAGTATGGTTGTGTAGACAGGTGTGTGTATGTGTGTGTGTGTGTGTGTGAGAGAGAGAGAGAGAGACAGAGACAGAGACAGAGACAGACAGAGACAGAGAGAAAGAGAGAGAGAGAGAAAGCTGTTCGGTTGGGGAATCTAAACTTACTTGAAACTCAAGGGCAGAAAAGGCCCACCTGAGAGACACTAGGATTTGGAAAAACTGCTGCCAATTTTATCCTTGCTTTAAATATATATTTCTTGATTATGCCTTGTCCTTATCAAGATTATAGGATATAATTTCAGAACATATTTTCTTAGCTTTGTCATATCCAAATTGTGACAGTTAGCTGGATTCCCAATATCCATCAACCACTGCAATCTGTCGAGTCTAGAAAACAACTCCTCTTGAAGTGTTTGTGATTTCAACAGTACCCCCTCCATCCCTGTGGTCTTCCGCTTGAGTATGCCTAGGAAGCAAGAAACAACAGTGTGCCCATGCCCATGGCGTGTTAAAAACCATGTCACTCACACACGTGATTTTGTTTCATCCTCTCTACAACATCACTAACAGGTTAATATACTCAAACAAAAAGTCCTGGATTTGGAAACTTAGACTCCAAGATCCTGTGTGTATTTAACTGGGTTCCTTTTGGCATTATTCCTATTCTGTCCCGATATCAGTCGCTAAACTGAAGGCATGGATCTTAATGAATGTGGTCACTCTCAAGATATCATCTCTCATCTCCAAGCTGCCTTGTGGATTTTGGTTACACAGAAAGGATTTTCTCTTCCTATTCTACGGTTTACAACCAAAAAGTGATGGCTCACTAACCCTGTCCATAAATACACCCCTGTGTTTACAGCATCTATAATTATTAATTCTATTAGTACATGCCTGGGACTAAGCAAGACCCTCTACATATGCGCGACAGTTGTGTAGCTTGGTCTC